TGTAGCGGTTGCGTCAGCATAGTAGGTGAGATTTCATTGAAATTTTCGTGACGCGGTTAGAGATTTTTTAGTCGACACTGTGCTTGTTTTGATAGGCAAAGTATATCTACCGTATGAGTTGTAATGGCATGTGTATTTCGTCTATACTTCGGCATTAAATGATGCCCAAATCATTGCAAATGCATAACAAACTGAGATAGTATCTAAAAATTTAATCCACGAAAATCAAGCGTCACACAACAAAGACCAAGTGTTGTATAAAAAATGCTAGATATAGAATTAATCGAAAGACAAAATATGATATTTTGTTTTGTTGCAAAGACAACCGATGTAAACTACGAATTTAAAGCATTGAGCATCAGTGAATTCACAAGGATTCAAACATGCATAAAAAAAAATCAAATGGAATTTTTTATTAGAAAATCATGAAATATTTTTAATTTGGTGACGTAATATATATTTCTATATCTAACAACCTAAGATCATAACTTACTGTTTGAATGTATGAAATTAAAATTTTATTAAATTCAAGTTCGATATGTTCACAATAATATTGTAATATATATTTTTTCCGGGCTTTTAAACAAACACTTTTAATATATTGAAAAACTTAAGATCATAAATCAAGTAACTAATCAAGTTTCAACATGAAGAAAAACCTAGATGAAAAAAGCAAATTACAATTCCCTTAATAATTTCTATCAAATATAATATTTACAGTAAATAAACTTATCTCAAGCTTTTTAGTAAAAGAAAACATCTTAATCAAGCAAATTCTGAATTTTTTTAGAAACTCTAAAACTCAATTAAGAAACTACTCACACATATAACAATAATAAATACCAAAAGAATATATGAAGAAAAACATAATGAAATTGCAATAATAGTAAATGGATTCACAAGTTTTCTCCAGAAATACTACAAAGTCCGAAATTCTTCTATAAACAAATATAAGCAAAATTTTGTAAAAAATCAAGCTCAAGTTGAAAAATGACTTAAAACAAAGTTTAAAAATCTAAAAATTAAATTGGAACGACCAAAGAAAAATTGTGTCACAAACAGATAGTTAGAAACGCGTAAGTTTTTACTCGGCCAATTGTGCGTGGGAGAAGGTCGATGAAGATGCATAAGCCAAACCCTTGCCAGTTTGATGCGGGTTTGATAGTAGAAACATGCTAAATGAGATGGTGGAGTCAAATACGTGTCAGTTTGCGCGACGGCATGTTTGGTCTTATGACCAGGCCGAATGAGATGGTTCGGTCAATTATTATAAAATTGTTTCTCGTTTTTCTTGAGTTTTATTTGATGATAATTTTAAACTTAACATGAGTTTCAATTATTAATATTTTTTTTTTTATAAGAGTTTCAGTTATCTGGATGACAGAAGAGGTTTAAAACTTAACATCAATAATAAATAAGTAAGAATTTTAAACTAGCAACTTTTTAGAATTTCAGGCTAGTTGTATGGGACTTAGCCACCACCGTTGACAAAAAAGGAACAGTGTCTGATTCACCGTTTTCAATTTTTTTTGTTATACAACATGTTTTAATGTAATTTCTCATCTAATGGTTTAAAATGGTCATCACAAAAAGCTAAACTAGCTAGTGGTTTCTGAATACTTGCTTTGTCCAAATTTCCGGGGTTCACAAATCTCTTAAACAGAAATTTTTATTTTTGCTAAAGCGAGATTAAAAAATTAGAAACCATATAAGAGAGGTGAAATATACAAAGATTGGTGAAGGAAGAACAAATCTTAAAATATTTAGACAATTAAAATAATCAAAAACTCAATGCCAAACGTAAATGTGAAAATAAGTTGAACTTATGATATCTCTAACGATCAATTGAACTAATCAAAAGACGGGATACATAAATTCGGCTGGTTTTTCACACAATTTTAGCAATCAAATTTGATGATTAATCTAACAATCTAAAATATACAAAGATTGGTGAAAGAAGAAAAAACCTTAATAGATTTTGACAATCAAAATAATAAAAAACTTAATGCTAAACGTAAATGCGAAAAACAAGTTGAAGTTATGATACCTCTCACGATAAATTGAACTAAGCAAAAGACGGGACATCAAAATTCGGTTAGTTTTCACAATTACGCATTTTAGCGATCAAGTTTGATGATTAATCTCACATTCTAAAATATACAAAGATTGGTGAAAGAAGGGAAACAAACTTAAAAAAAAATTCTTAGAAATATCCGTATGCCTTAAGAGCGCTTTAATCCATGTTTTTCACCGTAAATGTGTGACCTAAAAACAAATGATGAAA